TATACTAAAACTTGTGTAGGTTAAACCACTATATTAAATGGAACATTACCGTATCACAGCATGGTGTGTATGATGTACATTAAGAAAATTAATAAAGAAGACTGTCATCCTAAGGAAGTGGTACTCTTAAATGGTGAGCTATTTCTGTCTGAAAACTCCCAAAGAGCTATAGCAAAAATCAGACATAAAAATAATATGAAACAGACATTTCTCCCCTCTCCCCCAAAATGAGATCATAGGATATATAAGAACTTAGTGTATAAAAAATACAGAATTTCGAATCCATGGATTTTATTTACTTACTATGGTAAGAACACTTAGTATGAGATCTACCTTCTTAGCAAATTTGCAAGAGAATAGCACAGAATTGTTAACGATAGCAGATCTCTAAAACTTGTTCATCTTGTAAAACTAAAAGTTTATACCAATTGAACAACAACTCTTGAGTTCCCCTTACCCCCAGTCCTTCACAGCCACTATATTCCACTTTGTTTCTATGAATTTGACTATTTTAGATACCCCATGTCAGTGCGATCATGCCATATTTGTCCTTCTGTGACTGGCTTATTTCACTTAGCATAATGTTCTCTAAGCTCATTCTTAATATGGCAGGATTTCCTTCCAAGGCAGAATAGGATTTGTATGTACATCTAGGTTTTCTTTATCCATTCATTCATCATTGAACATTTAGGTTGTTTCCACAGCATGGTTATTGTGACCAATGCTAAAAATAACATGAGATCCCAATTTTAATTCTTTTGGGTTGTATACCCAGAAGTGGGATTGCTGGATCATAGTAGTTCTACTTTTAAGCTTTTGAGGAACCTCCATACTGTTTTCCATAGTGACTGCACCATTTTACATTCCTCCCAAGTGTACAAGATGCCAATTTCTCTACATCCTCACCAACACTAATTATATTTTGCTTTTTTCAGAATAGCCAATCCAATAAGTGTGAAAGGACATCTTATTGTTGTTTTGATTTGCATTTCCCTGATGATTAGTGATATTAAGCATCTTTCCATATACCTGTTGGCCATTTGTATGTCTTTTCTGAAGAAATGTCCATTCAAGTCCTTTGCCATTTTATTTATTTATTTATTTGCTATTGAGTCATAGGAATTCCTTATATATTTTCGATATTAACCCCTTTTTTTAAAAAAAAGATTTCATTTGACAGAGAGAGACAGTGAGAGAGGGAACACAAGTGGGGGGAGTGGGAGAGGGAGAAGCAGCCTTCCCGCTGAGCAGGGAGCCCGATGCAGGGCTTGATCCCAGGACCCTGGGATCATGACCTGAGCCAAAGGCAGACACTTAACCAACTGAGCCACCCAGGCGCCCCACCACTGTGTATTCTTAGCGCGCTTGTCAAAGATAAGTTGACCATATGCTATGGACTGAATGTTTGTGTCCCCCCAAAATTCACATGTTGAAATCTAATCCCCAAAGTGATGATGTTATCTGGAGCTGGGGCCTTTGGGAGGTGATTACATCATGAGTATAGAGCCCTAACGAATGGGGTTAGTACCCTTAGAAAATAGATTGCAGAAAGCTCCCTTGCCTCTCACACCATGTGAGGTTATAGCCAGAAAAGAGTTATAAACCAGGAAGTAGGCCCTCACCAGACACTGAATCTGCTGATGTCTGGATTTTGGACTTTCCAGCCTCCAGAACCAAGAGAAATAAATTTCTGTTGTTTATAAACCACCCAGTCTATGGTATTCTGTTATAGTAGCCCTAATGGACTAAGACACCCAATAGGCATGAGTTTATTTATGGGCTATTCTGTTCCATTGGTCTATATGTCTGTTTTTATGCTAGTACCACACTGGCTTAATTACTGTAAAAAATATATAAGATTTCATTTATTTGAGAGAGAGCGAGAGTGAGAGAGAGTGAGAGAGAGAGAGAGAGCAGGAGCAGGGGCGAGGAGCAGAGGGAGAGGGAGAAGCAGACTCCCCGCTGACCAGGACCCTGGGATCATGACCTGAGCTGAAGGAAGACGCTTAACCGACTGAGTCACCCAGGCGCCTGTGATATATTTTGATTTTAGGAATTGTGATGCCTACAGCTTTGATTTCCTTTTTCAAGATCGCTCTGGCTGTTCTGGAACTTTTGTGGTTCCATATAAATTTTAGCATTTTCTTTTTCTGTAAAAAATGCTACTGGGATTTTGACAGGGACTGGACTGAATCTGTAGATCACTTTGGGAAGTATGAACATTTCAACAATAGTAATTGTTCTGACGCATGAACACGGTATATCTTTCCATTTATTTGTGTCTTCTTTAATTTCTTTCATCAATATTTTGTAGTTTTCAGTGTACAAGTCTTTCACCTCTTTGGTTAAGTTTATTCATCAGTATTTTATTATTTTGATGCTGCTGTAAATGGGATTGTTTTCTTAATTTCCTTTTTGAATAGTTTGTTATTAGCATATAGAAACATGACTGATTTTTATACATTGATTTTGTATCCTACAACTTTATTAAATTCATTTATCAGTTCTAACAGGCTTTTTTTGCTTGTCTGTTAGGTGGAATCTTTAGGCTTCTCTACATATAAAATCCTGTTAACTTTTATTATTGCCTCATAAATGGTGCTGGGACAATAGGTTTTTAGGAAGAAGTTATATCAATTACATTATATAATGTAATTATATACATTAGTTACATTAATACATTTTCTGTATTATGAGAGGAAAATACAAGTGAATATTTACCTAATTTAGGAATAAAGAGGACCTTTTCAGTTACGAAAGGTCTGGAAAAAAACACAAAGTAAAAGATTAATGGATTACGTAAGAAGTAAACATTATTCGCCTTAAAAGACACCATTAGCAAAAATGCAAGACCAAATGAAACGATATTTTGACACAGATGATAAAGGGTTACAATCCTTACTTTAAAAGGATACTTAACTGGATATTTGTTAAAGACACCAATAAAAAAAACAAAGGACATGATCAATTAATAAAATACTAAAAGAACAGCCAATGAATATGAAAAATTATCAACTACAGATATAAATAAATGGATAACCCTTTTGCCTAACAGATTGATATTTTTGTTTTTTTATAACAGCCATTGTTACAGAGCCTTTAAAATATCAATAACTTTTGCTTCAAAATTCCAATTATTAGAATCTAACCAAAAAACATCATTAGAGACTCAGAGAGGTGAACAAAGATCTTTGAAAAAGGGTGTTCCCACTTAGTTTTCATTTTTAATACTACAGGACATTTTAAACTTTGGTGCTCAAAAGCAGAAGTATCTTTAAATAAATAATCGTATATTCATAAATTGGAAAAAGGAAAAATAGTATTAGGTGAAAAAAACAGATATGTATATAAAATGTAATTTCAATTTCATTTTAACAATTAATAAATGTGAATATAAACACATACATAAATAATTAAGGAGAATATACCGAAATGAAACAAAAGTCACCATGGGGTAGATAGGATGAACTCATAATTTCTGTGCAAATTGACTCACATTTTCTTTTTAACCATGAAATATCCTTATTGGCAGTCTCTACATAAAGACAGCATGTATCATATGATGCTGGATGAGAACATTCGTCTAAAGCACATTTTGGAAAGAATTAATCAGCATGACTTTTAAAATACCTGTCTGTCACACAGATTCAGGGAATATCTTGGAATACTGGAAGAGCGGTGTTATGTTCTCCCTCCACATGTTTTTTTTCAATTTCTTCTTTATTACTTTTTTTTGGCTTGTATTTGAAAGAATTATTTGACATATACAAAATGATAATTTTATTTTTTGTTTGACATTATACCTTTGATCAAAAATTGGAAGAATATTTATGTTTCTCTCTCCTTGAATACATGTCTTCTGATATTAACATGCAGTCCCTAATTTCTTTTTTTTTGCATCTATTTGCCTTATCTTTGTCTTTCCTTTTATTATTTATTTTCTTTGTCACATTCGGGGTGAACAGCAATTGACATTACTCCTTTCTAACTCAACCTAAAAGTCTCTGCCTTTTAATAGAGAATTTTAAACCATTTACATTTATGCTATATGCTGAATCTCTCTTTTGTTATCTTATTTCACCATTATCTTAATGCCTCCTAGTTGTTTCCTTTATTTTCAAACTTCAGACTGCTTTTAATTTTTGCTTTGTGTTTAATTTTCTCCAGCATGTTGTGAAGTAGAAGATGTGTTTTAAAAATCCTACTCAAGAGAGAAAATATTCTCTTTTTATCCTCCTCCTTTAAAAAGAGTTATTTGCGGGATGCCTGGGTGGCTCAGTTGGTTAAGCATCTGCCTTTGGCTCAGGTCATGATCCCAGGGTCCTGGGATGGAGCCCCATGTCAGGCTCTCTGTTCATCACGGAGCCTGATTCTCCCTCTCCCTCCACCTACCACTCTGCCTACTTGTGCTCTCTCTGACAAATAAATAAATAAAATCTTAAAAAAAATTTTTTTAAAGTTATTTGCATAAATTGGTGCCCAAATGAAGTTCTAATGTGAGCTTTCAAGTGCAGCGCTAATTGGGTAACTTTTGAGGATAAAGGCAGCACTCATATTAATTACGAAAGGACAAGTGTCAATTGGAAGCATCTTAGGTAAACAAGGATTGTAGTCACTCTATCTCTGGGTGATAGGAATAAGGAGGTGCAGGCATGGGGGTGAGCAGAAGATTTCACTTTGGTATATTCTGTATCTAAAGTGATTGATAAACATTCAAAGGTAGGTGTTCAGTTGGCAGTTGCATACATTGGTCAAAAGCTTAGGAAAGAGCTGTGGGCTTGAGATAAAGACTTCATAGTTATCAATAACACAGCTAATAAATAGGGCCATGAGACTGAATAAAAAATAGAGGCAGTAAGTATATAAAGAAAAAACTGATTCCTGAACACCACCACTTAATGTTAAACAAACCTAAAAACTAAGCAAAAAACCAAAAGACTCACAATTTGCGGTCAGAAGAGTAGGGGAAAAAAAAAACAGGGTTGACTCCATTCCTTGCCATGTCTTCTCACAAGACTTTTAGGATCCAGTGGTTTCTGACCAAGAAACAAAAACAGGATTGTCCCATCCTGCAATGGATTCAGATGAAACCTGGTAAGAAAATCTGGTACGACTCCAAGAGGAGATACTGGAGAAGAACCCAACTGGGTTTATAAGAACTGCATCAAGGTCACTAGCATCCATCTTTTCATATCAAGCTGAAAACATTACCACTATCTGGACAGTTGGATAAGTCTTACTGGGAAAATGGCTTTTTTCTCTTTGTTTCTACACCTTTGTATTAGTAGGTTGGTTCAGTAATAAATACGTGAGATCATTGGTTTGAAAATAAAGAGAAATAAGTGTAGTAATGGAAGGAGGTAAAGTGTTTTAGGGAGTAAGGACTTGCCAGTGTTGTTAAAGGACATTCAAGGATCAAGTAAGGAAAGGACTAAATAGGCATATCTCAGAGATATTGCAAGTTTGCTTCCAGAACACCTCAGTAAAGTGAATATTACAATAAAGCAAGTCAAATGGATTTTTAGTTCCCCAGTGCATATAAAAGTTATGCTTACCCTATGTAGCCTATTAAGTGTGCAATAGCATTATGTCTAAAAAAAAAATACAAACTCTAACTAAGGAATACTTTATTGCTAAAAATGCTAACCACTGGGGCATTTGGGTGGCTCAATCGGTTTAGTGTCCAACTCTTGATTTTTGTCTCAGGTCATGATCTCGAGGTTGTGGGATCCAGCCCCGCAATGGGCTCCGTGCTGGGCTTGAAGCCTGCCTGAGATTCTCCCTCTCCCTCTCCCTCTGTCTCTCCCCACTGCTTATGCTTGCACATGAGTACTCTCTCTCTTAAAAAAAAAAAGAAAAATGCTAACCATTACCTGAGCTTTCAGCAAGTCGTAATCATGGATCACAGATTACCATAACAAATACAGTAATAAAAAAGTTTGAAATATTGTGAGAATTACCCCACAATATGACACAGAGACACAAAGTGAGAAAATGCTGTTGCAAAAATGGGGCCAACAGACTTGCTCGACACAAGGTTGCCACAAACCTTCAGTTGGTAGAAAACTGTGTCTGCAAAGTGCAGGAAGAAGGGCAGTAAAGCAAAGTGTGCCTGAATATGTCTCTTAGATTTAGCACCAGGGATGTAACTGGTAACTTGGAAAAGGCAAGTGTTTTTGCAGTAGTGAATCTGGAAGACAGATGGTTGTCAGTTAACCAGTAGTAGGAGATGGGGAAGAGGAAACACTAAGCATAACAACCCTTAGGGGCGCCTGGGTGGCTCAGTTGACTGGGCGTCTGTCTTTGGCTCAGGTAGTGATCTCTGAGTCCTGGGATTGAGCCCTGTGTCCTTCCTGCTCAGCGGGGCGTCTGCTTCTCCTTTTCCTTCTGTCCCTCTCCCACCATGCTCATGCTCTCTCTCTCCCTCGAATAAATAAAATCTTTAAAAATATATTTAAAAAGAAACACACACACACACACACACACACACACACACACACACACACCCCTTAGAAGGAAGTGGGCCGTGCATGGAAGGTGAGAGACAGGAAGTAGGATTAAGGGGAGGACTGCTTATGTTGGGAGAGCTTCCAAGTTATTTGGATATGTTGGTAGGAGACAGTTGGAAGAAAGGAGCTGAAGACAGAGGAAAGAGCATAAATAACTAAGGTCCATCAGCCAGCAGGAGGGAAGAGCAAAGTATTAAGGAACCTTAGGTGAGAGATGGGGAAGGAAAAAGGGGGACCTTCAGGGGGGCGCAATGTCTTCATCTTCTGTGCCTTCCGGTTCTGCAGAGGCTAGACAGAGCCAAAGCAGAGGCAGGTCTCCCAGACTCTCTTGCAGGAGGGGTCCCATACAGACGTAGATTCAGACAATCCTCCGCCAGATGAGAAAGTGGAAGGAAGCGAGGCAGAGGTTGTGCCAAGGCCACTTCTGCTTTTTCTGCCTTGGCAAGTCCTTGGTGGACACATGGGTTTTTCTTCAGTCCTGTTCCAGCGTGTAGGTGCTTTGTTGCTCTCAAAAGGCAGACTGCTGGGCATTGCTTTTTTTGCCAAGGTGGATCCTTCAGGCGTGGTGGGACTCTGTGGCCACCAGCTGTGGCAGCTCATGGGCTAACACCCGCCAAGGCAGTGTTCCTGGGGCCAAGCATTCCACTGTTCCTTTCCAATCCCCCTCCTTTTTGATTGTGTAAAAGGAAGCAGGTTCCTGGAAGAGCTCGTTCTCTGGTGGCGCTGTTAGTATTAATGGGCTTGCTAGTCCAGCCCTTCCTGTGATATTGTATTGCATTCTGTTCCCTGTATGAGATTTCATTTCGCTTGAAACAGCTAATGTAATTTCTGTTTTCTGCAAGTCAACTCTGGCAGCAAGGGCCATCATCTATTCTTGCTTGAAAGAGGGAAGGAAGAGATAATGGGTGTAGATACAGATAAATTAGTTTCTTTGGTGATGGCCATCTCCTGGAAGGTAGGAGTTTTTAAGCTGGTGTATGCAGTGCCCTCAAGGGGTTCATGGATAGAATTCAGGGCATCTGTGAACTTAAATGAGAAAAAGTCACATCTCGGGGCGCCTGGGTGGCTCAGTTGTTGGGCGTCTGCCTTCGGCTCAGGTCATGATCTCAGAGTCCTGGGGTCGAGCCCCGCATCGGGCTCCCTGCTCCGCAGGAAGCCTGCTTCTCCTTCTCCCATTCCCCCTGCTTGTGTTCCCTCTCTCTGTCTCTCTCTCTCTGTCAAATAAGTAAATAAAATCTTAAAAAAAAAAGTCGCATCTCCTCTTCACCAACCACTAACTTTGTCATTTTCTTCAATTCTGAAGGTAGGCATCAAACTACAGCATCATCAGTGGTTCCCGTGACTTTGTCTCTAATAGAAATCACAGGTGTTTGCATATTACATTAAGAGCTGTTGTAGATTTCAAAATACTGGTTAACCTCATAACAATCGTAGTTATTAGACTTGCTGCTAGATCTTGTTCTTTAATGCATTTATAAAGAGTCACATATTACTATATCGCAAGTTTTTAAACTTGAGAACTGTATTTCTTTCACAATCTTATGTATTTTATTTTATGCATTTACGAATATTATTCTGAGAAGGGGTGCATAGGCTTCAACAGACTGATAAAACAGCCCATAACAGAAAACATGTTAAGAAGCCTGTTCTAATGTCTTCTATTTTCCCTGTAAAGCAGGATTTCTAAACTTCAGTACTATTGACATTGTACAATGGATAATTCTTCCTTGCAGGGAACAAATCTTTTGCATTGTAGGATGTTCATCAGCCTCATCCCGCTGTATGCTAGCAGCATCCATCCTGACTACATGACAATCAAAGACTTTGTCACTTGGGGGGCAAAAGGGACCATGGCTAAGCACCGCTAACATGAAGTAGTGCTAAGAGTGAGGGCTGGAAGGTGACCGGGTCTGAGATCTGATCAGAAAGGTTTAAAATGGATGCAAGAGAAGATGAGATTTGACAAAAGAAGGAGCAATGCTGAGGGACCAGGAGAATTCCTCACTTAGCCCATGGATAGAAGAAAGAGGTTCTCAATTTGCTTTTCTCTGCTTGACAGACATGATGTATTTGTGCAGTAGAGGCTACTTAAAATGAGAATTACCTACAATCCAAAGAACCGTTTCTCCCACCAATGGCCCATACACCAACATGGCTTAACACAACGGTTGGGATATACACCATCTTCAAGCAAAAGGATAATGAGAACATTTACAGTCTAAAAACGACTATTATTGCCCCTTGTTCTGCTCCTGTATGTGGAAAAGAATATTCTGGACTTGAATGTATTGGAAGTTGCTATTCTGAGAAAATCTGAGCCCAGTAGGCATCGATATGAAGGATATGGAGCAACCTTATGATACAGCAATTTGACTCCTAAATATTTACCCAGGACAAAGGAAAACATATATATCCACATAAAGACTTGTCCAAGACTCTTGACAGCAGCTTTATTCATAATAGCCCCAGACTGGAAATGATTTCAATGTCCATCAACAGTATAACACACTGAAATACTATAAAGGAAGTACTACTGAGCAATAAAAAAGAATATGCAGCGTCATGAATGAAACTCAAAAACATGCTGAGTAAAAGCAGCCTTACACAAAAGAGGATTTATGGATTGTATGATTCATTTATTTGAAGTTTTGAACTAATCTCTGGTGATAAAAAAAAAATCAGAATAGTGTCTGACTCGACGTAGGTGGGGACAAGCACTGATTGAAGGGATGGGGGGATTTTCCTGGGGCGATATTACTGTTCTCCACATATCCTGATGGCAAGTTGGGGTACATGGTTGCATGCAGCTCCCCAAACTCACCAAATTTCACGCTTAGACATGTGTATTTCACCGTATGCAAATGATACTAGAGGAACAGGTTGGGAAGAGGGAAAAGAAAAAAGAGAACCATAAATAAAAACTGAACTCACGGTTAATGAAATACATGCTGTAATGTTTGAAATGAACTGATGTCTGCAATACTCTGAAATAGTTTAAACAATGCAGTTAAAAAATGGGTTGATGGATAGCGAGCTGGTTGAATATGTGATAAAAATGTAGAATGTTAATTGCAGATTCTAGACGGTTGAGTGTGGTTCGTGCGCCATCTTCCAACTTTTCTGTAGCTTCAAAAATTTTGATACTGCAAAATGTGAACATTTGTGGGTGAATCTCTTTATGCCTTTCGAAGTATTTCATTCATCTTTGGGCAAAGAAGGCTACTTCAACACAAGCAAAGCATTTCATTTGGTTCTTGCCCTATGTTAACGAATGGGTCCTAAAACACCACATGCATCAGCTCCATCCAGCGACAACCAGCGCCCACCACCGCCACCATTTCTGGATCATGGGAGCTCGTCCCAGGCACCACGCTAATTACTTTACATGTTCTCATCATGTAGAGAAATTAGCGGCCTTCTTGACTGTTTAACAAAAAGCTCTGGGCTGAGTCACATCTTCAGAAGTTCCAGACAGCCATGGACCAGAACAAGCAGATGTCCAAGAGGAAGCTAACATCCGTGATGGTAGGTACTTTTAGGAGAATGTATTATTCAAATGTGTTGTGAAGCTACGTCACGGCGTGCGTGTGTGCGTGTGTTTGGGTGTAGCAAGCTGAAGTGGGAGAAGGAAAATATATTTTAGAAAG